CTGTCTCTTGCATTATGTTGTCACTATGGAAATGTTTCGTAGGCGACGATCTCTCGCTCGAATCTTATTCACTTCACAACATTTCTATTCTTCTTCCTTGTTAGTTATGGTACAGTTGAAGGAGATAATTATCAGTGATATTCACTCTTTGCAATTCATTTGTCTCTATGGAATATATGTGCTTATTTTTTTTTCCTAATACATGACAGATAGAAGATCCGAAATGAATTGAGAATTATGTGAAGAAGAGTTTCTTTCTTATTCACGGACACTTATATCCATAAGCAGCTGAAAGTCCAGTCATTGTTTTTCGATCAAGTATTAAGAGAATATGATGGATATGGTGATCATTATCGAATTCTCAGATGTACAAAATCTTGTTCGAGATGCAGCAGTTCCGAGCATGTAATATACATGCGATTTGTGTATAATAAGATTATCATTGATCATGAAAAGACGAATAGCTCGTTTAATCTAACGAATATACTCTATATTCGAATCAATTTTAATTCTCAATTAATCAAGTTCTACTATTTCTTTTTGATCTTTGCCTATTTCATTAATCACCTGTTTACGTTTTGTTTCGTAGAATCAATCAATTATTTACTGAGACTCACAATACTATTTTTCAAAAATCTTTAAAACAAGATAGTCTATTCGGAGATTCACTTTTCACTCTCTATCATAGAATACTGATTTCGTATGTGAGTGGTATTTATGTTAACTCGAACAGATCTGAATGCTTTTTTTTAAATGATTGATAGATAAATGTTCTTGATAGTGATGATATAATGTGAAAAGGTAGACGTTTACATGTAAAAGTCGCTCGTGCTCGTACACTGTGGACGATGCCACGTTTTCTTGTTTGCAGTAAAAGAAAAAGTGTTTAATGTTTCACAGAATAATATTTGCATAAGGCCTGAAAAGGTTTCTTTTTTATTTACTCTTTACTTCTTACAATTATACTAAAAGAAGAAGAGAAAAAACAGGTTTAGCAATTATATTCTCAAGGAGAATCATTTGTTTAAATATTTATTTATTTAAAAGTCAACTGTTGCAATTGCTTGGATGATATTGAAAAAGAAATTTTTGAAAACTTATTCTTGTACGAGAATCCTCTGAAATGATAATTTTGAGAAAAAAAACCGACCGTCAAAAGGTGAAGTTAATTCTAAAATTGTGAACGATTAATATGATTAGAGTCTACGATAAAACTTTCGTTAGAAAACTAGTAGGATTTTTTGCTTCTTTTACAAAACCTCCAATCAAAAACAAATTTTTTAAGATATCTAATTTTTAATATATTCTGGTTTTCGATTACGAATAAGAACGCTTATATCTAATTCAACTATAAACATATGATTAGCTATGGCAGTATCAGTTTGAATAAAGATCTTTATTCTTCATATAGAAGAATCTTAATGTATTATGTACAATAGGAGAGATTCAAGCAATATTAATTGATGTAGTACTGATATAATAAAATTGAAGAATATCATCGATGACCTCTTTCATATAAAATCTTATTTATTTAAAAAAAATAACTTTGTGTTTAATAGTTGATGAATATGATATTTGCGTTTTTCTTTAAATATTTTGTTCATAATAAATAGTTTCAATCTTGTTTCATTAAAATAATGTGAAGAAAGTAAATTATAATAATTTACAACATGAAAGGAAATAATTGTGTAATTGATATTAATTTCATTAATAGAATTCAAATGTTTACTGCAGAACCATATGATAACACAACTAAAGTCCTTCGATTACTAAAAGAAATATACCGAGAAAAACAAAAAAAAACAAGCTTTTTTTTATTGTTCTTATCCTTGGATATACTACATCAACAATAATCAATCATAATCTTATGTTTTTCAAACACTAGAAACATTAAAATTGATTAGATAATGATCGAATATTCACATTATCAACCACACCCCGTCCCTATAAATTACATTCAAAAGCTTTGTATTAATCAATATAGCAGTTTGGCAATACACATGCTTTTCGAATAAAATCTTTTAAAAATTTCATATATTTTAATAAGGATATGATTATGACGAATAATCAGAAACTTAAAAAAAAATGATTTAATTTTAAATATTTCTATTAAATAAATCAATTTGATTTACTTTCATTGAAATAAATTTTCGATCACATAAAAATCGACCTAATCCAATAAATGTTTGTAAAGCAGTTACAACACGTTCCATATTTTTATTTATCAATGCTTAACTAAATAAAAGTTTTTAATAATATCTTGAATATTCAAAAAAAAAACTCTCATTTTAGAATCTTTTGAAAATGAGCATTTAATTCTTGTTCATCTGAGGATGATAATTTTAACATTAATTTTCTTAAGGTGTTTTAATAAATATATTCAATAAGATATGGTATACATGATTAAAAGAATATTTAATGAAACAAGACAATTTTCTAATGTTGTATCATCCTAAACAAAAATTAAATTCTATTATTTTTATTCAAAGCAAAAAATGACTATGAAAGTGAAATAAATGTTTTTTTACCTTAAAATATTTCTTATTCAATTTGACATATCGATTAGTGTTAATATATCAATGTATTTAACAAGACGACGTACTATTGTATATAAATAAAAAGCTAAAATGATAGAAATTCTTACAAATTATTCAAATATTAAGTATATGTCACACTTTCATCTTGAACATTTTTGAATGTTCAAATAAATGCAACATTTCATTGACTAAGAAACAAATTAGTGAGTGAGTATAGGTGTAGATGAAGAGAAAATTAACATTTATACTAATATGAAAATTGTAATCCTACGAATTTTTCTGTTTAGCAATAAATACGAAGAAACGAATATGTAAAATTCAACTCCAATGATGATTAGAATCAATCAAAACAACAACGAAATCTTAATTATTAATAAACAAGATTATGTCAGTTGAGAATAAAATTCGATAGTACAAGTGAAACAAAACAGGCCATGTTCATCAAAAATAAGACAAAAAACAAACAACATTGACATGTTCATAGTCGAATATAGAAAATAGATCATCGATAGTTTGATGATAAAACAACGTAAATAAAAAGAAAGATTTTCTTTTGATTTTTATTAAATGAAAGACAACTTAATGAAATATTTAAAAGATTTCTGTTTGAAAAGGTTGTGGATGAATATGCGGGTCTAGTATCCCTTCTCACACACACATACACGGTATGGAAAACCAATCAGTTTGTTTATTTGGTTGACCAACACAAAAGTATCTAATCTATTTGCATCAAAGGGAGGGTGTGTGAATTCTTAGATAGAATCAACATGCATCGATAGTAACATAAACATGAATAATATTCTGTATTGAACCTAGAGTTTTGATTCAAAGTATTGATTGTTGTAATATTTTGTCAACTGTATCTTCTTAAATTTTCTTGTAGACTGATTCAATTTGACTTTTAAGTCAGAATATATCTTTAATATTAAATTCCACATCTGAATAGATTCAATAAAAATTTAATGATCAAAATTTTTCCCTTCATCTTCGTTTTTGTTGACAGTAGAAGTAGACCTTTATATAACTTGAGGGTGAAAGTGAGATAGGCTTAATTATAAGAATAAGAATAAAGGTGTAATGAGTTATCTAAGTCTCAACTCCAATCAGTATAGGTCTGTGTGTACACGTTTCAAGACATTGTTGTTAATTATTTAGTGGAGAAAAATCTTTTCTTCGAACGATATTTGATTGAACAAATTCTTCTTATGTGTAAACTACACCTTATAAAACAACAATCAAATTGTATCAGTACTTCAGTTCTTGAGGAAAAATATCATATTCGTCATATTATTTGTGAAATATTATATTGTTTACAAGAGATCATAGATTATATGCTTCATTTTAGGTACCAACATCCATGAAAATGTACAAAGGCATTTCTAATCATCATCTTCATTTATTTACATTTTTATACTTTGTAAGACGAGCGATCTTATCCATTTCATAGATTAAATATTTTGGTAAGTTTGAATTCATTGCTGCAAACATTATGGAAAAGCAAAAAGTTGAAATACTTGATCAATAGTTTTTTTTTTTTTGTATGGAAAATTACGAGTGTTAATACTTTACTACACTCTTAGTTTTCTCTTTCAAAGTCATTAGATAAAATGTTTTATCTACCTTTGTCATTTCATCATTCTTGTCTTAATCGACGAAATTTCATTTTTCTCTCGTGCTTGCGTTGAGTCACAACATATATGTGCATGATTTTTTTATTGCTTATGAGTCATTTACTGTTTCATCATCAGATTGTGTGCACATTCTTTTCTTCTCATTTCCATATAACACACATTTTTCTATGCCACATTCTTCTTTTTACTTGCTTTGCAAAATCTACATACTTTTATAACGTTACTGACTATGACGGTCCGTGTTGTGTCGTATAATTTGTTAGTACCCATTTACGCTGATTGGCCAGGGTATTACTTCAAATCTCAACCTGAATATCGTAAAACCGATCATCGATGGAACTTAATTCAATCTGAATTAGAACAACAGATTATCAATCATGAAAACACAATCATTTGTTTACAAGAACTGTGTACTGCTCTGTTACCCAAACTCGAATTATTTTTTCATCGATTAAATTACACATTGTTTCATAAACTTTATGGTTCTTGGTACAATAATTATATGGGTGTAGGTATGGCAATTCCCACTTCAATGCAGCTCAACTCCATTTCTATCATCAACATTGGAGATCATATCCGATCGATCAGTAAGCCTCGCAAGAACAATACGAATCTTTTAACATGGGGATGGAATTTGTATCAATTTATCATGAGCAAACTCAATCAGCCTACATCTGAACCTTGGAAAACTGCCATGACCAGAGCTAATACGCTCATTTGTTTACAAGTCATAATTGATAATAAACCATTATGTATTGGTACATACCATATGCCTTGTCTTTACTATCTATCCGATGTCATGGTAATTCATTCTTCGATTGTGAAAGATTTGATGTTTCAATTAGCAGCTGGACAAGATTTTATTTTAGCAGGTGACTTCAACTTCGAACCTCAAAGTCTCACTTATCAAGTTTTAACAGAAAAAAATTATGTTGGCTACAATTTACCGGAATCTAATACATATGAAATCTCTTATCGACTTAATAATGAACAAATATTGAAGAGTGCCTATCAAGAGAAGAATGGAAGCGAACCTAGTTACACAAATTACTCGCATACATCGAGTTCACCAAAATACTGTGGGACACTGGATTACATCTTTTTTACTGGCCATCTTACAGTAGAAAACGTATTGGAATTACCAGATAATCCAACAAGTGAATCGTATCCTGATGAAACACATCCTTCAGATCATCTAATGATTGCCGCAACATTTCAATTGTGACTAATTTAGAAAAACACTTACTATTTTTCAAACAATAAAGAGAAAAACTCCTCACTTAGTCATGATAATTCATTTTTTGTTAATAGTCACACAGTATGGCTAGAAAACTGACGTCTTTGTGAATATTATTTAAGCTTCTTTTCTCTGTGTTGTTCTTTTGATATAACTTTATAATGTTCAGTGTTATTTTAAGTTTATTGGTAGCTCCCATATGAAAATTTTTCGAGCCTAAACGCGTTTTAGATGCCTTTGAACCGCTGTACGAAAGCGCGTTTGGACGCATCTAAAATGAAATATCTGATGCGTCTGAACACATCTGAACGGATTTCAGAAACGCGTCTACACACTCCATGAAACATCTGACGCGTTCAAACGTGTCTGGACGTATAGTGAAACATTTGATGCGTTGGGAGGCATCTGCTAGATTAGATGCGTGTGAACGCGTCTGGACGCGTTTCAGAAAATTTCGGAAAAAAGAACATCTTGTTCTCGCAGATTCGAACTGCGGCACCATCAGAACCACATGATGGTCAGCTCTATCCTAGAGGCATCGTACAGAACAAGTTTTTTTTATTTGCGACGTGTAGATGACAAGCGATTTTACAAAATCAAAAGGAAAAAAACAAGTCTCATCATATTTCATGTAAGACAAGAAAAATAATAATAAACTATTGCAATATAAAATATAACTTTCATATTTCGAACTATAATGATACGAGATTTAACTTAACACATTCTCCTTAATGATATAAAAGAAAATATAGCTCAACATTTTAATAAACCTATTCATTATCAGTGTGAATTAATATCTAACGACATAAGAACGAGCCAATTTACAATAATATTGATCGATTTGTATTTTGAGTTTCGATAAAAAGTCTATAAAAAAATAATAAATCATGTTTCTTTTCCTACTCAATATAATAATATTCATTGTCTTTTATAATGCATAGTATTCATTGAGTTTTATATAGTCTCATTAAGCTTATAGAAGAAAAAAGACATAAGAGCAAAAAAGAGACATTTTAATTTCCAAGTAGACCAATAAAAACTTTATAATTGGACTACTGTAGTTGACTTACATCACAAATCTAATCAAGAAAAAAAAAAAGACAAATGAAACTGTAACTAAAAACAATTAAGACTAAAATACCATGAATCTAAAATAATATCAAATACAATCTAATATTGTCAACTACAATAAGATGAATAATAACTAAATATGAAAATATTGTGTATGATCAATATCTATTAGAAAAATTCAGTATTGATCAAAATCGACATAAGATTAAGTTGAATCACAATAATAATCATGAATCTATATTGTAATATTATAAGATAAATAAAACTACATTTAATAAAAAAAATCATGCTTTTTTTTTTCTACTCAAATATAATTACAATCAGCATCACATACCATAGATCACATTCTTTTAGTTTCATCTATAATCTCAAAGAAAAAAAAAAGGAACATAAAAAATTCATGTAATTCATGTATCTTTCATGTAATGAAAGAAAAAGACTAGAGCAAAAGTTTGAACGACTATATATTTATTGATTTGATAACTTTAATATCATAATATGGCTTGGTGATTATTGCTTTGATTTAACTTGATCTTATATCAACTTTGATCAGTATTTAAAATACACTAATACATATTGAATATATATATAATGTTTTCATCTTCATTCATAACTAATATAGTTATATGTTGACAATATTAGGTTGTAATTAATATTATTTGAAACCACGTAAAACTTTAAGAACGTTTTTATTATATTCCTTGTTGATGAATTAGATAAATCTTTTAATATGTGCAGTTGCAACTGCAAACGAATTTTAGTAATTAAAAACATGAGCGAAAGTTTTTTCTAAAGGACATTGCATAAATTATTGATTAGAAAAGTAAAAACAAACGAAATAATGTGTATTATACTCATTATTTATTTTATGATATAACGATTTTTCGTTTTCAAAGTATTTATTAGCATACTATCAGAACCAAATGAATTTCTCCCCTTTGTTTTTATTACTATACTTCTTTTATTTATTAATCCACTATATATAGTGAGAAAGCCCGAAGCGCGCTGCTTCTTTTGAGATATTTGCGTTGATCATAAAACGCAATTTAAAGTATAAAAAAATGTCCTGGAAAACAAGTAACATTTTGTTTTACTACATAGTGTTCATAATATGGTAACATTTTTTTATTTCACATATATCTTGGCTTAGATAGAAGATCAAATCTTGAATTTTTTTTTTCAAAAGATGCGCTGTGAAAAGCTCTATAAAACCTGAATGATTGAATTCCAGTTAGAGCCCGTCGGGTCCAGAATTTTTGGACCCGGACCCGGACCCGATCATTTAAAATTTTTCTACCCGGGTCCGGACCCGGACCCGTTTACAGGTTGCTGGACCCGGACCCGGACCCGGTCGCTTAAATTTTTTGGATCCAAACACAATGACAAGTCAGTTTAGATAGTATAGTCAAGAAGGGTTTTGTTGTTTTTTATCTATTTTCTAAATACATTTGATCTCTTCTTTGTATAAAACGAATAAAACTTTAAAAAAATTCAAAATAAATTGTATGGATCAAAGTTTTCTTCAGACCTGGATCCGGTTAAAGCAAAATTTTCAGACTCGGACCCGGACCCGGACCCGGTCAAAATAAAATTTTTGGACCCGGACCCGGATCCGGACCCGGCCAAAGAAAAATTTTTGGACCCGGACCCGTGCGGGTCCGGGTAGGGTCCGGGTCCGGGTCCTACCCGACGGGGTCTAATTCCAGTTATCCTGTTCTAATAGCTTTTCTTATACTCAAAATGAACAACTTACATGACAATGTCACTTCACATACTATTGAAAATGTTTGAAACACTTTTTGGTTTCATATATCTCGACTTGAGAAAATGATAGAATATTGAATTTTTTTTTAAAAGATGTGCCATCGAAAGCTCTACAAAAGCTGTATGAACCAACTCATATAGAGAAATAAAAAAGTGTTCCAAACATTTTCAATATTATGACAAGTGACACTGTCATGTAAGTTGTTCATTTTGAATACAAGAAAAAACATTAGAACAGGACAACTGAAATTCAATCATTCAGGTTTTATAGAGCTTTTCACAGCGTATCTTTTGGAAAAACATTCAAGATTTTATCTTCTATCTAAGCCAAGATATATGTGAAATAAAAAATGTTACAATATTGTGAACACTGGGCATTGTAATAAAAAAAAAATGACACTTTTTTCTAACACATTTTTTACATTTTAAACTACATTTGATGCTCAAGGTAAATATATAAAAAGATGCAGCGAATTCTGGGCTTTCTCACTATATATAGTAGATCAATAAATAAAAGAAGTATAGTAATAAAAACAAACAAAGAACAAAGAGGGAAATTTACTTGGCCTCGATAGTATATATCGTTAGACGTGTTTAATAGAATAGTACATAAAAAACGTCTTTATACTTCAAATATGCTATATGTGCTTATAGTTGTTCATCGATAATGTTTTCTTAGTTTAATCACTCGTGGTGCAACTGTTGTTTTTAGATATCAAATGTCGAGACGTTCTTTTATCTGCAATCATAAGACATAGTAGCGGTTCACCCATTAAGGAAGAACAATGAATAAAATAATTTTAGTTGTTTGTGTCTTATGATTGTTTATTCTTTGTCAACGGAATTCACCACCGAATTAAGTTAAGATTTCATTTTTTTGCTTAGATTTTTAGATTATGCAACGATTCAAGTCTATTGAAAGTGTTGCATCAGTAACATTATCAGAGATATGTTCTTACAGACACTTTTCAGTATTAAAGCTTTCGCTTGTATGAAAAAAAAAATCAATCGAGAGAACTTTGACTAAGAATCAGAACCTTATCTTAAAATACTCTTGCCAAATAGTCATTATGTAATGCCTCTGAATAACGGTTCGAAAACATTTAATTCTAAATATATACTATAACAATTCATGCACGCATAATTGCTATGAAAGAAAAAGGAAGTCTTTCCAAGAAGTAATTTTTTATATTCGAAACGAGAAGAAAATTATTTTTATAAAAAAAAAAAAAGCAGTAATGTTAAATATTAACCTTACATATACTTCGCTGTGCATTAATTGGATTAAGTACACGATAATGTAGTTACAGTTATTTTATAAAAGAGACGATATATCTGAATGCTTTTCTCCTCAGAAAATGGAGTAAAATAAAAAATGATTTCCTTTTTCTAACATTGAATATTAGTGAAAACTTTGTCAAAAAAGGATTATCACTATCATTTAAACAATTATTTTTCTACACTAAAATCACTTGCTACTTCGTTTAAAGTATATGCGACAGTGTATTTAAATTGATTATCTTTTTTTTTTTTTTTATAAAAATGACTTTTAAATTTCACAAGTGATATAGAAACCATTACTGTCATGCATTTGAGGCATGACTACAGGCGATCATATAAACTCAGAGATGTTTAATATTTTTTTTTTTCGTTTGCAATTATGAAGCGCATTTCCAGGCGCATCTTGATACGCTCATCAATTCAAACGCATCCAGATGCGTCACGAAAACGCGACTGTACGCGATTATCAATTTGAACGCATCCAATTGCGTCTCCAAAACGCGGATGAACGCAATCGTTTCTATGAACGCGTTCAGTTGCGTTTTCACCTCTAAAATCATGAAACGCGTTTGTACTCTGGATGCGTTCATCAATCTGAACGCATACAGATGCATCTCTGAGACGCGTAATGTAAACAAGTATTGATTGATTTAAATTGAAACTCTCTATGTAATAGCATTTGTTTTAATATTAATCTACATCGTTTTAATGTGCTTTTGAAACTTAGCGTAAAAAAGCAATTATCGTGTCTATGTGTAAGATTTGATAACTATTCAAAGAATAAAAAAATAGGCGGATGTAAAAAAATAGGTCATATGAGAAAGAAAAAGAAAATACAAGTTCCTGTTAGAAACGTCTCGACTATTTCAATCTTTTACTAGGTGTATACATTTTTTTTCAATCCTTATCAAAGCTTTTAACAAGTATTTCAACAACTATCAAAATTAATTATATATTGTTTAATATGTTTAAATAGTGTCGTAGATTCGGCAGTGTTTACTATCACTCAATATCTTTAAATAGCATCGAAGATAAAATAACTACGCATGAAATTATATTTTATATAAATAAGTAGCTGACAAATATTTAAATACCTCAAGAGTTTTTAAACAAAGCTACAATTTGAAACAGTAAGTTCTCACGTCAGATGATTAAACTGAAACTTCAGAATAGACATAGAGAATATTAATCAGTATATAACACACATGAAAATGCTGAATTCTTCTTTATGAAAATGTAAAAGAGAATTGTAATTATCCGGAGAATGCTGTTCATTAATCTTTACATTCAAAAAATTTTTTTTCTAGTGAACTGAAGAATGAAATGAGTAATTATTCACTTCATTTGTGGTTCACATAAAAACATACAAATCCACTATTTTGTATTCATACAAGTACTACGTATAGTCTTACATCGCTGTCATAGACGTCTATTGTGAGACTATTGTATCAAATTAGGCATTGAATATGACTTCATTTTGTTAAGAGAGACATTGAATAGCGCTTCTAGTTCACTGATTATTTTAGTAGACAATACTAAATTAAAGAAAATGAGAAATGATGGCTGATATAAAAGCATCAGTTACTTACTAGAATTTCATTTAGAATGTTACAAGTCATGTTGTCGAATTCAACATCATTAAATACGATTGCTTGGCTTAACAGTATGAATGTACAATTGAATCGCTATCTTCCATTGCCATTTCTCGTACTCGGTACGATTGGTGTAATTTTAAATATTATTATATTCACTCGTCGAAGTCTTGTCATCAATTCATGTATACATTATCTTTTGGCAAATACAGTAGCCAACTTTATTGTACTCTATTGGGTTGTTATTACACGAATCATGTCCGATGGCTATAAAATCGATCCTAGTATTACATCGGATGTATTTTGTAAAATGAAATATTTTCTTACCTATGTTTCACGAACACTCTCAACATGGTTCCTCTTATTGGCCTGTATTGATCGGTGGGCATCGAGTATAAAAATACAACGACGCTTTAACAGTGTAAAATTCGTTCGTAGAGTCATTGTAATAACTACTATCATATGCATTGTGTCATTTTCTAATGTGCCTATTTACTTTGGCGTTCAGAAAAATTCTTTTACTTCAACTACATGCTACGCACAATCGGGACTCTATCGTATCTTTTCGGATCTTCAATATCTTGTCTTCTATGCGTTAGGTCCAGCTTTGATGATGTTGGCCTTTGGTTTAGCTACACTTCGCAATCTTCGACAAACTCATCGACAAGTTTTGTCAAATGGTACACAAACTACTAAAAGTACTGCACGACGTGACCATCAATTGTTTGCAATGCTTATCATGCAAGTGGCTTTGATCATTGTCTTCACTGCTCCATTTGCTGGTCAAAAATTATATGACACATTTATGCTGAATGTGAAAAAATCTCCCCTAGAAATTGCGCAGGACAATTTATATGCAGCAATTGTACGTATTTTATCATATGGTTCGCATGCATTCGGCTTTTTTGTGTACACTCTGTCGGCGCGTATCTTTCGCCAGGAACTACTCAAAACAATAAATAACGTACATCGACGAATCACGGGTCGAAATCGTATTTTCGACGTGAGAAAAGCCATTGCTATAACCCGAATGCATATGATTGAGACGAAACACATTTATTGTTCGAATAGGCAAGCTAAATGAACGAACTCTCTTTAACTTGATTAGTGTTAAAATAAATCATATAAATCTTTTATGAACAATAATATTACTTGCAGCACATATAAGAATAGCATCGCAATGCCATCATCACTATAAATAAATATCTCTTGCTGCTGACTTCAGATTGATATGAACAAAGAAAGTTGATAACTGTGATCTTTTATATAGAATAAATTTATGTAATCATTTCCATATAAAGCATGCCACGTCAGGTATGAAGCGGATGAATCAGCCCCATTTTCAGATCTGGTTCATGCATGCAATATAATGTTTAGATAGGTTGAAAGTGACAAGTCATCCGTGGTGTGGATGTCGGCGGGCGTATTGCTCTTATATTCATCTGCAGGTGTGGATATAGGTGTGGGTGAATGTGTTGTCTTCATTCACAGAAACACTCATATCTAGTTCTTCATACATTTTAGACGAATGTCTGAGTTGGCATGATTAAAACCAAAACTTTATATCCATTTTCATCTACTTTTTGCTTATTCTAAAAATTATGCAAGCAAATTAAAAAGAAAATCGTGCTTCGATTTAATGGCTACCTGAGTTTATGCTGCTGGCTATTTGTAACTTTTTGCATCAAAACATTATAAGAAATGACTACGTATATTTTTTCCTTCATCTTTTTGTCTATGGGTAAATATAATCAAGCATAAATTTATCTCAATTTGCCTGAAAAGTATACATATAGACAATTGCAATTAGTTTTGTCAAATCCATCATCGATTCAATATCTATCCAATATAAGTTAGTTTGCTAGTCACAACTAATCTAAAGTACATGTGACGAAAGAAAAGATCCATCATATATCTTTGTATAGAGCGGAACTTAATATGAAGGCATTTGTGATATTATTAAGTGTCGCTTGTCTGTCACTGTATTGATTAACGTCAGCAACTACAACCACATCATCCTTCATCTGCACCTATAGCTGTTGCAATTTGGATCTCTCAAATTCTAATTGTGTATCCTCAGTTAATGATTGCAGTACATGCACTGATTAATGCATCGACTCATGTCCGAAGTAATGAGGGAAGAAAACATAAATATCAATGGGATATCTCTTCAACTAAGTTCTCTGATGCAGTAGGATCCAAATGGTCAATCATCTTTCACCTTAGACTAGCTAAAGATATGAACAACAATTTGAATGAAACTTTTCTGATTGAATCAAATCTTCTTCGAAAAATTATTTATTCACATAAATAATATCTGAAGATAAATGAGAAAACTAATATTTTTTCCATGCGTTCATCATAAGTAAAACGTCATTTGTTAAGATTTCTGAATCTCTTGTAGATAACTTTGGTTATTAAAAATATTGCTTAGTAAAATAAAATTCCAATGCAGCAAATTTTCAAGATAAAATCATTCTAATTTGTATAGGTCGATTTCGATTGAAAAATCTGTATTGTTTCAGACTATTTAAACAAAACGATTCTTCAATACGTTTGTAGCATAATGAATGGCTTCGCAACGTGACTTGAAATATCAAGCTTTTATCCACACACACACATGATCAAAAATCATATGAATGTTTTTATGTTTTTTTCTTCGAACAAATATTGGCTCAATCAAATACCATCTTTCAATATTTACTAATAAAATTGAACTAAAAACAAAAGATAATTATCATTCAATTTATTGGATCGAACAGTATCAAACATAAATTATTTTCTATTGATAAAACTAACTTTCAATTTATCTGAAATTAAGATTGATCAACAAGCAATCCATTGTCTCAAAGCAATGCTCTTTTCATGATTATTCTTTCTTCGATGATTTTCATCTCGAAAAAAATGTGCGGCTATAGATTTAAGCATACAATAGATCTATTATTATTTGCTACATATATAATCACTTATTTATGATATCAGCTCATTCGTCACTTTTACACGGTCGAGATAAGTCGCATCTTATTTTCGTCGGTTACGTACATTTCTTTGTTCAACTCGTCGAATTCATTTATTTGATAAATTACTTATATTACATTATTTTCAAATTATTTTTGAAATAATCAATTAAGTTAATTAGTTCCAGTCGATTCTACGAGTGGTTCATCGTTAATTATGCCTCCCAGAAAAGGAGGAACTAATTTATCCAAACAAGGACAAATTTATATTAATGGTGAAAATGTAAATCAAGGTCAAACAGCAGTAGCTGATGTTGGAGGAACAATGGCGATGAGTCATATTCCGAGAACAAAGGCCTCTGCTACAACAAAGACTTCTTCAGGAACAAAGGCTGGCCTGATAAAGCAATCAAATTTCAGCATTGCTCCTCTAATTCTAGAGGGTGTTAAGCTACATAAATTACAATTAAATGATGTTATCAAACAGCATCTAAAGGACTTACGAATATCTGATATTCAGCTAAGTCGATCAGGTCACTTTACAATATATGCAGCTGATGTTAGCTCGTTTAATCGTCTATTAAATGAGTTAACACCAATACTTGCAACAAATGGACAGGCTACAGCTAAAATATATGTGCCCCGATCCATTCAACGTATTAAAGATACGGAAAAAGTCGCATTTGTTAAAAATGTCGACATAGAAATTCCTGAAGGTCGAATAACTGAAGCATTAAAGGACGTTGGACTTGATGCTATTGATGTTGTTCGACTAATGAATAAAACTAAAAATGTTCCTACTAGAACGATCAAGATTACATTTAGTGATCCACATAATCGAAATACATTCGTCCATACTGGTTTACAAGTGGACTCAATGCATTTCATAGCTGAAGCAGCAAATCAAAACACCAAACCTGTACAATGCTTTATATGTCTGCAATACAATCATGTGGCAAAATACTGCAAAACGAAACAGCAGATATGTGCTAGATGTGGTGAAACTCATCGCATTGAACAATGTACTGCTGCTAGTGATTTAATAAAATGCTGCAATTGCAAAGGAAGTCATATAGCAACATCAAATGAATGTGCAACTTATAAGGAACAGGAGAAACGAATTAAAAATTTAGTTAATCAATATTCATCTCCGAATACACCAACAACATCAGCTCCAGCCATTCATGACTTAAACGAATTTCCATTGCTACCAAACCTCTTACAACGTCAACAAGAACACATTCATAATGAATTATTCGATGAAATTATTAATGTATTAAGCAGCAAAATGGAAAAGATTATCGAAGAAACAACCAGCCGACTATTCCAGAAGCTACTTAAGAAAATCAAGAAGATCGAAACATTCATCGAAACATAAGACAACAACGGTAAAGATGCCTTGACTATATCGGATTTTGATTCAGAAGAAGAAAGTCAAGTAGTCAAACACATTAGAAACAAGCAAAACCCAAGTGCAGCAATAACCAAATTAACCACCTCAGCAACTGATACATCAAAGAAGCCAACAACAACCTCAAATGTAACTTCATCAAAACCACCACGAAAAGTTAAAGAAGTTTCGAAAGCAGCCAAAAGAGTTCGATCACCCAACAGCTCCTTAGATACATCAACATTTGACAGCAAAGATCTCAAAACAAGCAACAAAGATGATTAGTGTTTGTCATATTAACATCACCACTATCAGAAAACACAAAGACGAACTCCTTGCCAGATTCTCCAAATACGACGTCATATCTGTAAATGAAACTAATCTGAAAAGAGACCAACCGTTCTCTCTGAAAGGTTACAACATTTTCAGAAACGACCGAGTAGGAAAACCTGGTGGAGGAGTATTACTAGCTGTCAAACAACATATCAAATGTAATGAAATTCTAAGCAAAACGGTTGGAAAAAAATGAAATTATAGCTGTGGAAATTACTACACGTTCATTAAAGAGCGTATTAATCTCTTCGATCTACGTACCACCAACAGCAAAAATCCAGATCAACATCTTTAATGAACTGTACAATTTAAACAACAACTGCATCGTAGTAGGTGACCTTAACGCAACATTATACAATATGGGATCAAGAAAAACAAATGCAAGAGGAAGACAGTTACAAGAGGTAATAAATGAAGGTTATTTTAACTGTATTGATGATGTTAGTACCACATTTGAAAAGAATGATTATGAAGTAAAGATTGACTGGATATTAGCCAGTCAACCTCTTCATTCATTAATATCAAACGTCGAAACCCACCCAACAATCGGTACATTAAGTGGTCACAAACCATTAACCTTTGTTATACCAATTGGATCTGAACCCAAACCTGCATCTCCGAGATTATCCCTTAACTTCAAAGCAGCAAATTGGCCAAAATTTAGAAATAAATTAAATGAACAACTAATGCTATGGAACAAACATCATTATATAAATTCAGAATCAGATGTAGAAGAATATACGTCGTTTATTACCAACAGCATTACTACAGCAACACAAGAAGCCATACCAACATCAAAAAAATTGAACACAAACATTAAACTAAGTGAAGCAACCAAACATCTGATCCAGCTCAAACATAAAACTTATCGTAAATGGAAGAAGACTGGAGAAGATAGTGAAAAACAACATTATTATAAATGTAAGTTGTTACTGACAAATTCACTTAGAAACGACAGAAAAATCAACTTCAACAACCTTATGTCGTCGTTATCCCAGAAGAACATGTATTCAGAATCAGTATGGCTTACGGTTCGTAAGTTTCACAACAAGCGAATTAAACAAAGCCACAGTAACAACATCAAATATAACAACGTAACTTCGACATCAGATAAGGAAAAAGCCGATCTATTTGCTGAATATTTTCAAAATGAAGTATATGTCGAACCACCTGACATAATACCATTTCATCAGCAAGTAACAAGGCAAACGTACAACATTAAAAACAGATCTTCTAACACGAAACTAAACAAGTGGAAGAAGATCACAATTAAAGAAGTTAAATGGAATATTAAACAACTTCGTAATAGCTCCTGTGGTCCTGACAACATTCATAACAGATGTTTAAAGAACTACACGGAATTATTCATTCAACATTTAACTAAATTATATAACTCTATTTTAAATCTTGGATATATACCAAATGGATGGAAAAAGGCTAATATTATACTGTTATTAAAGCCTAATAAAGATAAGCAACATCCTTCAAGTTATCGACCAATAAGTCTCCTTAGTTGCCTCGGCAAACTACTGGAGAAAATAATGAAGCAACGACTGATGGTTATTCTGGAACAACGTAACATCCTGCCAGAACATCAAGCTGGCTTCCGACCTCGAAAAAGCACCTTAAACAACATTATAAGGTTAACAAAATATGCACAACAACATATGCATTCATCTGGTCGTCGTCGACATGCAGCAGTTATATTATTCGATATCAAAGCTGCCTTCGATTCTGTCTGGCACGATGGATTAATATATAAATTAAATGAACTACGTCTGCCACAATACTTAACAAATTATCTCATCTCTTTTCTACAGAATAGAACTGCGGCAATTGAAATTGAAAACATTCTATCAAGACCATTTAACCTCAACAGCGGCACTCCACAAGGGTCTCCGTTATCTCCATTACTCTATATTATATACACGGCAGATTCGATGAATGGAATACCAGAACATACAGAACATGGTCTATTTGCCGATGACACTGCTCTATGGACATCATCAAACACAATAACAAGCCTTAGTTCTAGGCTACAACAATCCATAGATGAATTTCAAAGTTGGTGCAATTCATGGAAACTTAAACTACAGCCCAGTAAAACTGAACTCGTTCACTTTACTGTACATCCCCGTAAACAGTTTAAAAATCCAATATCGGTAAAAAATAGATGATACAACTGTCAAAGCATCCAATTCAACAAGATATTTAGGTGTTATCATCGATAAAACGTTGAATTGGAGAAGTCATCTACATCACATCGAATCGAAGATTGCTGGTCGTATTAGTCTGTTACGGTTTTTAAATAGAGCAGCTTATGAACCTAATGACAAAATTATGTTAAACATCTTCAAATCAATTGCAAGGTCTATTATCATCTATGGTTATCCAATATTACTTACTGCCAATGATAAAATATGGGAAAGACTACAAATAATGCAAAACAAAGCCATTCGTGCTGCATTAGGATTACCCATATATACATCCGTCGAATATATCCATCGAATTACCAATATCCCCAAAATTAAAGAATATGCCGTTACTCTCCTGCAACGTTATATTCAAACAGCAACATCAAATAACGACCAACTACTGACCAACAACCTGCAAGATATATTCAACAAACTTCAATAAGAAATCACCTACCCATGTTACATATTACATATAGCATCGTCACTATCGATCATTGTTGAGTCGACCGAATCCATACAAAAATTGTTATATCGGAATCATCGACTTTAACTTTGCATCATACATATATATATATATACTATTATAACAGCTTCCATCGTATAACCTCTTTTCACGAGACATAAGACATTCGTCATGCGTCTCGGCGTTTCTCTCCAGCCTTTTGTATATTTGTATATATTGTTGCTTCTTTTTTTTGTTAACATCTTAATAAAAAAGGCTTTGACTCCAAAAAAAAATGATATCAGCTAGTGAAGACGAAAAGAATGGTTATGAACTTTAGTACTAGAACAATTCGTCGTAATGAAATAATTCAATCATAATTTATATCTATTCTGCAACAATGAAATGACCTACTCAATTACGTATGAAACATGTAATCCAATGACTAATAATTATTTAAAATGTTATTAATAACTAAACTTTGATCTGTGATCTCCAACAGTACGATAATCTTCTTGATCAGATAAAAACTTTGACTGTTCGAACTATACAAGCAGATATTAGAAAATAGTTTGAAAGAACTAGTGAGATTTAACACCATCTGAAGAATAGCAGCTTTGACATCACCAGAAAAAAACAATTTTTAATGAATTTCTGTTTTTAAATCTTCACATTTGACGTACAAAGCCTGTTAATTTTGTGACCACCACCTTTTATTTTATTTGTTTAAAACTAAACTAGTCAGATTCAATCGATGATTGATAAAATGCCAGAAATAGTTTTGATGATATCTCGTAATTGAAGATGTTTACATCAGAGATGGACAAAATCGCACCGCGCCTCCCCGCGCTTCCCCGCGCCGTTGCTCACGCCTACGCTACACTAGTCTGAGCTTCGATGAGCGCATGCTTAGAGCATCCTGGTATTCGGTGGAGTTTGAGAAACTGATTGGTAGAGCAAAGAGAAAGAGAGATGTGCGTAGCGCCTAGGCGCGAGCAGTGGCGCGGGGAAGCGCGGTGAGGCGCGGTGCGATTTTGTCCATCTCTGGTTTACATCCTACTGATATTAGTTATGCAATAAGAAACAGGTTCGCTTTTATATCTTGCTACGTTTTATTTGTAGTGGCACATCCTAAGATTACAAATTGAAGTTTAGCCATAATCAATATAAACTCAATAATTTTTAGAATCATTGCATTACATATTTCAAAATTAATTTGAATAAGTCACTTTATTATTAAAAAATACATATAAATTATGATTGGATTATATCAATGCAATAAATTGTCCTGCAACAAATTGTTTGGTCATCATTTCGCTATTTTAAGCTACATATCAAATTGTTTTAATAATTGATTATTTGATTTTCTTTGTTAATAATTTATATACTGTGTGTGTATGAATTATAGAACGAATGATAAATAATTTTATGTTACATATTATTGTTATATTACTAAATTTTTCATAGAAACAGATCATCAACATCATATATAGATGTAAATTAAATTCATCCATTTGTATTTTAATAAATTTTTTTTCAAACAACATTTAATAATGTATATTTGTTTTATTTATAAGCATGTTCGAGTTCAAGAAGATATGTATATTTATGATTTAAATCGATTATATTGTCAAAGATATATTTGCTCTATAAGATAAAGAAAAATTTATTTCGACAATAGGATTTAATTATTAATTCGAACCTAAATTATTATGTTTGTAAGAAGAATGAAGAAAAAGTGATTGTGAAAAGTTTCGTCTACAATATTAACTACTTTTCTTAATTTATCTTTTATAAGCTTATTAAAATCAGCAAGTTTTTGTGATAATTAACTAATCTGTTAAATAAAGTGTTTTGAATCAGAAGTAAAACATTTTAGAAGTTTCTTGGAAACGAAAGAACTATCATAGATTTAATCCAGAGAAGTTTTCAAATTCGTTTTAACAATCGAAAGAGAATTCACCAATACATAGGTATGTTTCGAGAAGCAAAAAATAAGCATATCAACATCGACTTTT